AATCTGTGGCTGATCCTTCCCTGGGAGTGTTCCAGGCCAGGCTGGATGGGGCTTGGAGCAACCTGGGCTAGGGGAAGGTGTCCCTGCCCATGGCAGGGGTGGAACAAGATGATCTTTAATGTCCTTTCCAACCCAAACCAGTCTGTGGTTCTGTGACTCTCATGATTTCACAATCACACACCAGACACACTATGTCTGCTGCCACCAGTGCCTGCCCTGACCCTGGCACTCTGCATGCAAAGCCACCAGCTCCTCCCTGCTCCCAGTTTTGGCCTAGGCTCCAAGTTTATCCAGGGATTTCAAGTGTTCCTTGCACTGCAAGTGGGTGGCCAGAAGCACAGATTGCCTGGCAAGAAGGAATAACAATCAAAAATAACAATAAAAAGGTGAACTGTCCATTGCTTAAGAGCCCCAATTCTAAGACATAAACTGCCCTACCCCAGTCTGGTGTCCTGTCACCATCTGTGGCCAAAAGAGGCTAAAAATCAAGATGCAGATGAACCTCAAAAAGGGAAAAAAAATCTGCCTCTTGGCCATGCCCAATATAAACACCCTGCAAAGCTGGGATTGTGGTGACTGTGGAACACCAACACACCAGGACTCCCCAGTCCTGTGAGTTCACCTCCTCCAGAAACTATTGGGCAGTTACTCCACCTTCCCTCCAAAAATGCTCCAAATTTATTGTTTCCACTAACTTGTTTGGAATTTTCAGAACTCTACTCCCTGCACAGTCAGAAACATTTACAGTTTATAAGTGTATTTTGACCCAGACTGTCCTGACTTCAGTAGTTCTCTTTGGATATTTATTTCCTTTTCTCTTACGCTTTTTTTTTTGAATGAAAGTACTTTGTGTGCCCACACTCAAACAGTTTCAGTCACACTGTGTTATAAGGGATGAAGCAAAACTTGAGAGCTCCAAAGGGAGGCAAAGATTATCTGATCTGACTGCCATGCAAGAAGAAACTAAATAGATTAAGACAACATGGGGAACAGGGAGAGAAGGTGATAGAGGATATCTGACAGCTACACAACTGTCACTGTGGGCTGACAGTGACTAGGAGTCTTTTTACACAGTTTCTCCAGATTAGGCAGGAACAATGGGATTATCAGACAATGGAAGCATTATTAATTTCCCTGTAGTGCAGAGCCTGCACAAGTCTCCCACAAATTGGTGCAGACAAGCACAGAAAGATATTTACAAGTATCTGCTCAGCATGGCAGAAGCTAAATAATCTGCTATTTATTTTACAGTTTCTAAGGATGGCCCAGCTCAGTTAAAAAGTGAGGGGCCAAAAGCCTAAGGCTGTTCCTTGGCTAATAAAACCACTACTCCTTATAGCAGGAGAGCCTGGTGCTTCTCAGGGCAGCCTGCAGATTCTCTTGGCTGTTGTGGAATGCTTCCTTGAATGCAAATGCTGGGCCTTGTTCTCCCTTTTGACTTGAGTATTTCTTTCCTTCTCTCACACCCACACCCTTGAGCTTGCAGTGCAGTCAATTTATTAATTGCTTCCCTCCCTTTCTTCAGGTCTGTCTGATTAAACTCTAAAGTCTGGATTATAACCCTACCTTTGTCAACAAGAACTGAATGAACGCATAATTGCTCAGCCTAAGACTGTCATTTACAAGAAGCTCCTGTGTAAGTATCTGCTCGATAAAATAAATTTCACTTAGTTTGCCTCCTGTTGGGTACTTGATGAAGCAATCTGGTTATCATGTCTCATCCCAGCTTCCTCCTGAAGGGCTGTTTGTATTGGCTAGCTGAACCTCACCTCCAGCAGGCTGACTGTAGAGATGAACAGAATTTTTCTGGACATGAAAATCCCTAAATAAATGTGGTCTTCGCTACCCCATGGTCATAATGAAAACCTTATCAGTCCTTCTGCACTCTCAGCTGGGAATGTAGAGGTCCCCCTGCTGGCCTGAGCTCCCAGTGAGTGACCTCTCCAGCTCAACACCATCCTCCTTCTCTACACAGAGCAATCCTGATCCTTTGTTCCAAACAGAAGAAAAATATACTCAGCTTTTTATAACTCACATCCAGATCTTCTTCACACTCAATTCCAAACCTTTGTTTCCAGCACACAGTGAATATTGTCCTTCTCCCCTAACATGCCTGCTCCTTCCCCTGCCAGGGACACACACGTGCCTCTCCACAGTTGAGAGCACTGTGGAGCTGCTCTAGTTGCTCTCTCGAATTTCACACCAACTTTCCCTTCCTCTTGAATGCACCTAGCTTTTATTTCTGTCAAATTTCATTATATGTTACTTCCTTTGGAGCAGCTTTCCCCCTCTTTTCTCTGGCCACAGCTATCACCATTCTGCTTCTCCCTTAGCAAGCCTATTTCTCAAATGGATTTTTAATGAGCTTTAAATGGTCCTTTCTTCTCCCTCTGGTCACACTCACTCATGGATTACAGAGGTAACTGTCTCTTGGCCTGTCTTACATCTAGAGCAGCAGAATCCACACGTGGATGCTGAGCCCTGTATCCACTTTTATTGCCTGTGCTCTTTTGCATTTCCCCACTGCTGCCATATTCCTGATATGAAAAAGATGAGGGAGAAAGAAAATAAACCCATAAATGAAGCAACTGCCTGCAAGTTCTGCCCAAACTGAGCCCCAGATGCCAGCACAGGGGCCTGTTTGTGGCTCTGTTCCTTTCCTGCACCAGTCTTGACTGACATCAGCACAGTCACACCATGTCTGCAGCAGCAGCAGAGCAGGAAGCCAACACCAACAGAGAGAGAATTACAGAGGGCAGCAGTTCCTTTAACTACTGGAACTGCTTCCAAAACATCCATCAGTGTCTCTGCCTTCTTCCCAGAAGCAAACATTGCTTGTTCCCCATGGGCTGTTCTCAGGCTTTGAGAGTCATCCTCAAGTGGCTTGGACAAATGACAAACCATTTCAAGTAGCAGTGATTACATTTATGAGTAATGATGCCACATCACCTGCTGCATGTGTCTGAACTGAGCACCTACCACCTGCTTGCTCAGTGCACTTCCCATGTCAGCAGAGCAACAGCCCATTACCAGCACCCTGACACCTTCTGGTAGCAACACCTGCCTTTCTGACTGCAGGGTCACCCTAAATATCTCTGTGTGGACTTGTTGGAATGAGCCACTAAATTGATCAGAGGGATGGAACACCTCTGCTCTGGAGCCAGGCTGGGAAGGCTGGGGGTGTTCAGCCTGGAGAAGAGAATGCTCTAGGGAGACCTTAGAGCCCCTTCCAGTGCCTAAAGGGGCTCCAAGAGAGCTGGAGAGGGACTTGGGACAAGGGCCTGGAAGGTCTGGACAAGGGGAATAGCTTCCCACTGCCAGAGGTTAGGGCTAGATGGGATATTGGGAAGGAATCCTTCCCTGTGAGGTGCTGAGACACTGGCACAGGTTGCCCAGAGCAGCTGTGGCTGTTCCATCCCTGAGAGTGTTCAAGGACAGCTTGGATGTGGCTTGGAGCAACCTGGGCTAGTGGAAGGTGTCCCTGCTCATGGCAGGGGGGTCGGGTCTTTAAGGTCCCTTCCAACCTAATCCATTCTGTGACTCTATAACCAGCTTAAGTCCCAAGTGATGTCTTTTTACATCCTCCTCTAGGAAACTGTGCCTATGCTCCATGTGAACCGACTGCTTCTCTATTTTGCAGACAAATTACTTCCCTTCTAAATGTCATCTCCACTCTGCTTTTTCCCATGTTCATGTTCTTTCCTTCAATCTGCAGCTTAAAACCTTCTTGGTTCCCCCTAAACAGGCAGTGTGTGTGCAGTATGACTGAGGCAGAGCAGGAGAGGCAATTGAGAGCTGGGGAAGCCTGCAGAGCGTGGATGGACTTTAAAGACATTAAATGTTCTCTAAGAATCTGTAGCATACCTTTTATGCAGTTTAAGCTATGTTATTAATGTACTGAAGGAATACCTAAACCAGGAAAAACCACTTGCCATAACCATCAAATTTGATACCAAAGTGCTAATTACCTTTCTCGAACGAACTCTGCCATTTCCTTCTGCATTTGTTTCCCTTTCAGTTGCTTTTGAAGAAGTATTTCAAATCCTGACACTGTATTGTTCCCTTGTGAGTCCTTCTTATCTGCCTGAAAGAAAAATAAAGGAAGTTTAACACAAAGCTATGGGAACCAAACCCACAGACATGTGGTTCCCAGCAGTGCTGCTCAAGCAGCTCTCCGAGACCAGCTGAGACTTCTCTCAAAGGAAGAGCCCAACACTTTCTCTTCCCTCTCCTCTTAGTCTTTTTTCTTAAAATGTATTTAAAAAGGGAAATTTTACAGTTACCTTTAGCTAGCGTAAGATGGTGTGGGGATCAAAGCAGCAGCCCTGCTGTCCTTTCTGCCCATGGCCCCTCATAGCTGGTACCACCACCAGGCAAAGCATCAGCCCCCAGGGCTCAGCCTGCCAAAGGAAGGGACCCTGGAGCCAGCAAAAGGGAATACTGCTTTTCCTTCCAGGGGGAATGCAGTCCTAAATGACCTTTAATAGACTGCCAAGTTCAACCCTGATTTGTACTCTGAAAAACAGAGCCAGTCTGCATGGATCTGCTGTTAAACATCACCTTGTCCCATAGATTTCCATCATACATCCCTCACTGTTTGTGTCCCACACAGCCCTTTCCACCCTTTGCTTCACTGACTTCAGGGTTGCTACAAGGACCAACAGAGTCTTCTCTCTGCTGCCCCTTTTCTCTTTCCTCTCTCTGTTTTCCTATTTCCCTATTTCATGTCCTACCCTCTTCCAACAGATTCTCAGAGAACATTTCCCTGAGCACTACAGGTTTTGCTCCAATCCCCTGGGTGCTGCACAACTGCCCAGAGAAAAATGCCAGATTAATCAAAGCACGAGGCTGGTAGGACATCCCACTGGGCACCAGCCAGCTGAGAGAGTGGGAGGAGTGGAGCTGATGGAAGCAGGAGGGTGAGCTGTGGGCAGACCATGGATGACAAGACCAAAAGAGAGGAAAGTCCTGGGAGTGGAGCTATAGGAGGATAAAAGTCTGCAGAAAAAAGGCAGCTTTAAGTGGAGTTTCACTGAGAGTGAGATGTGACTAACCCAAGGAGCCAAGCAGTGGCTGAGCCTCAGTGGAGAGAACCAAGTAGGGCAGGGACTTGTGCAAGACATGCAAAAAAATCAGTTAATAAAACATTAATGACCTGTACACCACTAACGATTTAGGACTCGCTGAGATCAGAAGACTGGAAGAAACTGAAGAAATTTTGTGATAACATGACCATTTGCAAGTCTGTCAGTGTATTTTAGCAATGTCAGTATTTTATGGCCTGTCAGGGAGGTTTAGGTTGGGTATCAGGACAAGGTTCTTCCCCCAGAGGTGTTTGGGCACTGAACAGCTCCCCAGGGCAGTGGTCACAGCCCCAAGGTGACAGAGCTCCAGGAGTGTTTGGCCAGTGCTCTCAGGCACAGTGTAGGATTCTCAAGGATGTCCTGTGCAGGGATAGGAGTTGGACTTGATGATCCTTGTGGGTCCCTTCCAGCTCTGAATGTTCTGTGATTCTGTGAAGTCACTGCCACCAATCCTGACACCTGCACTGAGCAGGCATGAGGGGATATTTTAAGATGGAAACTGTAAAGAAACTTCCCTGTCCAACCATCCAGGAGCCACTTTTCAAAGAGACTGAGGTCCCTTCACAGCAGCAGCTCCAGTGAGCTGCCAGGGCCCCACCTGACTCCCTGCACAACCCACACTGACAGTCACACCAGGTTTCCTTCTCCTAGCTCCCTAGGTTTCCCATAGCAGAGTCTCAGACAACCAGATCCTCCAAATAATTTAATCCTGATGTAAACTAAATAACGAAATCACAGAGTAACAGCTCGAGCTGGTGCCTCTGAGAAGGGACACCAAACAAATCAAACCCTGGGCTGTCAGCCCCTCACAGTCTGGGGGTCGTGGGCTCCTGCTGTGTGTCTCAGTGTCACCTGGCTGTGCCACAGGTCCCTGCACCCTTTGCTATGGAAAGGGTCAGCAGTTCACAGCCCCTTGCCTGAGACTTCACCCACAGCTCAACCTGCAGCTGCACACAGAGACACCCGCACTGAAGAGATTCCTCAACAGAAACTCTGCAGTAACTGATAACTGAAAACACACAGGAAATCCCTAAAATCTTCACTGTTGATTCGTTCTGTAGTATTTGTTGATTCCATTGTAGTATTCCTCCCACTCCTCAAAACAGTTTTCCAGTGGTAGAAAAAAAGTTTCCCAGTAGTATTTTGAGATGCGTGGCTTGTCCTACATCCTCCCCTTTTCCTGACCCAGTCCCTCTCCTTGCCTTTCTGGCCAATCCTCTGATGATCACCCACATCTCAAACAGGTCAGATGTATCCCACAAGTTCTTCACTGGTGTCCCCAGTCTCCCTGGTACTGCCCAAATTCTCCTTTACCTTGTACCACAGATCAAGCTGTTTGTTCCACTTTTTTTGGAAGCTCTGGAGCTGCAATATGGCATGTGGCTAGCTGCCTACTTACCCAGAAATAATCACAGTAGCTCCACTCTGAAGGTTTCAGCAACTGCTGCTCTGGCATTACGTCAGGGTGGGGGAAAGTCACACAGTTGATCTGTTTAAAAAGGAATTAAAAAAAAAAAAGAAAAGAGAGTTAGACAGTAATGAAATTTAGCTGTTGATGAGAAATATGCAAATGAAAGGTTATATCCACGTACTTCCAATCAGAAAAGCCGCAGTGAGTGCATGCCAGTGCAGAAAAATTTGTTGTTGCATGGAAACAGCAGCTAAGTATTCCCAGAAAGCAATTCCTATGCAAGCAGGAGTGTCAGCTCAGAGGAAAATAAACTACCCGTTTCACAGGAGGAAAGCCTGCTGGATTTGGAAAGCACCATGCAGGGAGTTCTCCCAGATCCCTAAAAACTGTGGTAAAACCCCTGACGTGAAACACCCTGAGCACAGCCCCAACACAGAACCACAGTGAGCAGCAGAGAGCACTGCAGGCACTCCTGGTGCATCCCAGCTAAAAGCCTTGGCTGTGCCAGGCTCCCCCAGGATTACAAATGGGTTGTTTTCTCAGTGCACAGCCCTTCCATCTATCCCAGAGACCTTCTCAGATGGAAATGATGCTCCCTGCAAAAAGGAGCAGGAGCTCTCTGAAGTCATGAGCCTTCAGTGTGCAGAAACGGCAGTGACCTGTGAGACAGGACTCATCACATGGTCATTCAAAAACTGCATAAAGAAGTCCAAGTGCTCACTAAGTTATTGCAGTGGAACTTGTAGCCAGAAAATAGCACAGTGGGGGCAAAGAGTGTGACAGCTACAGCAGAATGTGCTGCAGAAAAACTCTGGATGCAGCCAAAGCCTTTCAGAGGAAGCAGCAACAAGAGTCAGAGGTCAATGCCAGTACATAATGCTCATCCCAAATCCCTGCTGGGCAGGTACCCTAAGAACAGTCCCCCTCAGTGCACCCTCAGGGTCACTGGGCACTAAGAGTGTAGAATCACACAACCATCAAGGTTGGAAGAGACCTCCAAGATCATCAAGTCCAATCATTAACCTGTCACTGCTGCAACCCCTAAACCATATCCTCCAGCATCAGATCCAGACACCTCTTAACCACCTCCAGGGGTGGTGACTCCACCACCTCCCTGGGCAATATTCCAGTTCCTGAACACCCTAACAGGGAAAACATTTTTCCTAACATCTAATCTGAGTCTCCCCTCTCTCAGCTTGTAGCCATTCCCTCTCATCCTAATAGTAGTACTAGTACTTGGGGATTAATTAATTGTGCTGGTACTTGGATATGACCAAGGACCCAACAGATACTGGGGATGTGAGACCCACAGATGTAACAACAGATTCTGTTTTGGATCAGTTAATGCTCACAGGAAACCCAGGCACAAAGCTGTGGGCAGTGTTAGCACAGCTGCATGGGACAGGCCCAAAGGCAGAGCCTACATGAAGTGAATCTGCCTTTGGGCTACACAGAGAGGATCAGGAAGGACAGAGTGCAAACCCACCATGCCAGAGCAAAGCAGACAAAGCCTTTAGCTGACACATGGCTGCTCCTACAAACCCACACTGCTGCTGCCTGCCCAAGCTGAAGGGTCAGTGGCTGTCCTGTCAGTAATGCCAGAGCTTGTTCCACAGAAATGACTCTGTCCAGAGCTTGCCACGTCCATCTCAAAGCAGACTGAGGACCTTGCACCTACAGTGCCTTCAGCTTCCACCTTGGCTAGATCCTAAACCACATGCCTTCCTTTCCAGCTTCCTTCCAGTTCCCATCAGGCTTCAACCTGATCTGCAGGAGGTCAGAGATCAGGGCTGAGCAGGCAGTGGCCATGCACTGGTGACCCTGCATCTCTATTTCAGTGCCTGCACCCCCAGCCAGAGCCCTGCATCCACTGTGCTCCCTTCCAACCTAACTGATTCTGTGATTCTGCATCCCTGCCCATGGCAGGGCCATGGAATGAAATGATCCTTAAGGTCCCTTCCAATCCAAGCCTTTCTATGATTCTTTTTATGATCCTGTGACATCCAATGCCACTGCTGAGCACAGGCTGTGCTGGTATCTGGCCATGCCCCTGTGCTGTCACAGCCACACACCAGTTCTCACATAATATAGCATATTGTAGTTTTGCCTTAAACAAATGAGACAGCCTCCAGAACCCGTGCACAATCACCCTGTCACATATCACAGCTGGCCAGCTGTTTCCTGTGACTGAGCAATGCTGCAGCTTATCCTCCCAGAGCAGGGACGGTGTGGGAAATGAAGTATTGTCATTTGACAGTGTTCTAGGGAACAACATGAAGGTACATGGTGTCAAGACAGGTTTACACAGCTTCTGGATTTGAGGGTTTCTGGCTTTGCTGCTGCATTTCATAGTCACTGGATGAAAATTTGGGTGACAGCATCATGGCACTTGCACTTCCAGCCTCCCCCCCAGCCTGGCAGCCTGCACAGAACACTGCCCTGTGCACAGCTATATATGTGCTTACACAACACACCTCATGGGCACCCAGGACAAGGTGTTGTCACCCCAGAGCAGACTGGCAAGCTACAGGAACTCAGGATTTAGCACAAGTTAAAAATAGCAGCACAAGGTGAAAGAGTTAAGGAGAATGCATGGAAGTTTTAGGATGCTGGAAATGATTCACATCTCCACATCAGGAACACAAATACAGCACTGCTGAAAGGAGAAGCTATTCTGGTTCCCACCTATCCTCATACAGAGAATGGCTGGGATGTTCCCTGTGGAAACACACTGCTCAGCAGAGCTCTGTGTTGTCCAAGATTACTTATTTCAACAGTGAAAGGACCAAATGCTTCCCATGACGACAACAGTGTTTTCAAGGCAGATTTCTAGGGCTCAACACTGTCACAATGGATAACGAGCAGGGGCCAAACAAGCACCTCCTAAGAGTATTCTGCAGCCTTTACCAGATGACTGGGCATCATAGAAGATCCTGAGTTGGATCATTGCATCATGGCACTGCACACCAGGACAGGGAGGTGATGTGCAGCAGAGAGCACGGACAGTGGCACACTGTTCCCTGCAGCTTAAAAAGCTGCAAAGAGAAACAGCAAGGGAAATTCCTCTTCCCTGCTAAAGGCAGCACTGGTTTCACAAATAATAAATCTGTGCCAGCTGGGAGCTGTTGATTAACTTTAAGACTCTCTCACATCACTAATGTCCTGAAGCAACAGCCACAGAGTCACTGGAAATGTCCAGGGTGGGACTGGTGACTGGTCCCACTGTGATGGTCTGAACTGCACACACTCAGC